AATCAATTGTTTCTTCATTTCTTTTCTTTTTTTCGACCAGGCTGCAACCGTTTCTTCCAGGACATGGGTGTTATGTTCGGCTCTCGGCCCTCCTTGTGGTGGAAGATCTGCTGGGTGGGGCTCACCCCGGCCTTCATCACTGTGAGTTCTCTTTGTAATCCTGTTGTCGAAACCTGCTCTAACGACCACCTGTGTAGTTGCGAGCGCCGTAAAACACTTACCAAAAAATAAATAAATAAATAAAAAAGACCACCTGCCCAAGACAATCACCAGTACAAAAGACCATTTCCCACCCCAATCCCCCTCCCAGCATGTTTTTTCATCTTCTTTTTCTTCAAGCGTCAGGTCTAGAGCGTGGGTGGTTGGCGGGTGCTCTGGTGTGGTTTGCTTCTTCTGTCCTATCAAACATCTATCGTCCTTATCTCCCCTTCTTTTTTTATGTTTGTTACTCTCTTGTAACACCAACACCTCTTATATTTTGGCGGTCATATGACCTTGTGCAGTTGCGAGCGCCGTAAAACCTCTACTGAAACTAAACCGAACCTGCTCTAACGACCACCTGTCCAAGACAAGCACTTATACAAAAGACCACTTCCCAACCCCACCGCTCCTCACACTCCTGCGCTGTTGTTTTTTTCTAATTCTTCTTCTTTTAGCGTCAGGTCTAGAGCATAAATTAACAATCATGGTATCCCATTCCTTCCTGTTGTCTGTCTTCTTGATCAGCTCAGTATTTCCTCTTTGTTTCATTCACTGCAAAGCTGTTCAGGCCATCTGTATATGCTGTTCTTTGTCTTCCTCTGCTCTTCTTTTCCTCTATCTTTCAACAACAACAACAAAAAGAAGCAGATGGGCTTAAGCATGGTATACAACCATGGATGGACAAATCACAAGGGCCATAACTCTGTTTTACTACAGCCATTTCATTCACAAACTCTCATCTTCTGTTGCGTCGTCTCCCATGACATGTGTTGTCATACCCAAGTCTTGGGTCATACTATAGTGCGGTTAATCAGAAATTCGTGGCGCAACTTATTGCCAACTATCTCCTCTTCTATGGAACATAAACTCTCCAGCTTTTGCACACTGACTTGTACCAATTTGTCTTGACAGATCAATATTTTTTTAAGACCTATACGCTGTATTCTAGAAAATTCCTTTATAGATACTAATAAAAAATCCTAGTGGGTTGTTTCTACTGATTTTAAAATGTTTACAGCTGGGACGATGTCACTTTTAAAAGCAAGTCCGTCATTTTTTTTCTAATCACGAGATTATCTTTATTAAATGCATGTTTTGAGAGCTTTTAGCGCAAACAAGTGTTCACTATAAAATAAATTTCTTGTAACTATTTTTGTCATTAACAAGTTTCACTGGTGAGCTGTGACGTACCCATATGCGTATACAAAATGTGTGCGAGAAGCGGGAAGTGCTGTGAACTATTCCATTTTTCGCGTGGAGGAAATTTGTAGTATTTTATATAGATTTATGAAGAACAGTTTTTTAATCTAGCCTTAACTGGTGTAGAAAAAGATGATTAAGTTAAGACAAATTGAGACTAACTGATGTGCAAAGTATGGGTAACATTGATTAACCCGTTAAAAAGATATTTGAGGATAAGTTGCGCCTTGAATTTATGACCGCACTGTAAGAGCTCTGTTTTTAGCGAAATTTGACGTGGGATTTTTTATTTTTTCGAGCCCTTTCTGTTGCAACTTGCATGGTTTCTTTTTCTTTTTTTTAAGGGGAAATAAGCTAATGCTTAATGCTTTATTTGTATATCTTTTTTAATGAATGGGTTATCTTGTCTATGCAAACGTGAATAGAAACGTCACAGCTCTGAAAGAACTGCAGTTAGAAGACTGAAAAATTATAGATAAATGTATGAAGTAGAAATTCAGTGAGTGTTGGGATCTACTGCTTGAAAGCAAAGATGCGTTGTCAAGAAAGGGATGTAACCAAGTAATTACAGTCTTCATCCCAGCAGACAGACGAAGATACTCTTTAGACTGACATCTTCGAAGTCTAATACGGGGTGCCCACTACGGCTGGATCGGGCCGATCGCCCGACTTGATCGCCTGAAACTGAAAACAAACACGTTTGTTTTTGAAGCGATCGAGTCGGGCGATATAAGTTATATAAAAAGAAATTGGACTATTTAATAGAATATGAAAATATATAGTTATCGTTATCGGTGTATATATACATACACTGAAATTTATATTGTATATACAAATGTAAATAAGCCTTTACCATATTTACCCAAAAAATTTATAAATTTTTGTTCGTCTTTTTAGCATAATAATGAAAATAGTGTGATCGTGTGCGGTTGCGAGCTCCGAAAGACTCTTACTAAAAACACGTCTGATTTTCTAGCGGTGAAACCTGTTGGCGCTTAAATGACCAAAATTGTGTCGGTAGTGCCGTAAAACATCTACTCAATCAAAAATCAAATCGATCGACCGTAGTGGGCACCCCGTAAAAGGGAAATCGAACCTGCACCGCTTGCCTAATAATGTGACGATTACTCACCTACGAAACCCAATGAATTGGCATGCACAGACGACCACTAATAAGTTCACTCACTACGTATCTTCTATGAAGAACCGGTCTCCGCGTTGATTTCCTGTCTTTCATTCTAAATCTCGGCCATAACCCACTGCTAGCAGCCATCCAAACAAGACACACAG